CGGACCAAAGTAAACAAAACAACAAAACAATCGAGATTCACTACGCAATTGTGCATGCCCCATCGCCTTGCCCGCCCCCTAAATATCGACATAATAAACTAACACGCCATACATGGCTGCCCAGCCCATCCTCAGTCCGTTCTCGGCCTACCACGCTTGATGGTAAACCTAAACCCTCTGCGAGTGACTCATAGTCTCTAAGCCCGCTCTGTTCTATGACAATTGATGCCCTTCCACTGCATGGTTGAGGGTATTTCGCCGCCTGCGCTAATTTTTGCCCTTCTTGACTCGACCCTGTGGAGAACACTGAACACACCTGACTGTCAGTATGTAACGCCACAAAGTCCCAATCGGTCACTCCAATCCTTACGATATACGGTTGCAGACCCCCCTAGGCCCTTCATATGGTTAAAATATCAACAATCGCTGCATCAACAGACATCAAAAGGAAAGGAGGTACAGTTGAGAACAACCCAAGTCAACAACTTTTGCTATGTCGTCTTCGGCTCAGTGGTGGAATATTCCCTAACGCTAGATATAAGTTCACGATAGCTCCCTTCGGGTTTTTGTGCGTCCAAACAACCAAAAAAAATGCCAAACTTCGAGAATATTTGGCAAAGAACTGGGACAAACATGAATTCTGATGCTAGAGCCTCTTGCGATCGCTCATTCAACGCATATCTGCGATAGGAGCACTGTGGTACCGTTGGAACGAGTCAGAACCTCTTTGACCTCTCTCCAAATTGAGAACACCGCACAACACGCACACCAACTAGCGAAGCTCCTTAACCAAAAAAAAAAAAGTGCCACAATCCAGTCATTTTTTTACACTATTTTAGGAAGAAAGTACCACAAATCATCCCCTCTGACAATGTGGACACTGGCAGGTCTTTCCGGACTTTCAACTCGGATCCGAACCAGAGTGCGACGTAACACTCTTTGCCGCTCAGACAGATACCTACTGCTATTCCTCTGGAAAAATAATAAAGCTGATGCGGAAGGGTAGGGGAGTAATCACGAAGATAATGGCCCTAGCTTCAAGACTATGTCTTCCGGAGGAAGTGAGGAAAATGGCTCGCATCGCAATCGAGGCTTTGTTTACTTAGCTTTGGCCTTGGTAATTGATGATTAGATTGACCCTCGACTCCATCTTGACGCGCCCCAGTCTTCTTAGAGTAGATTTACAACAATAATTTGTGCTCCATTATGATGTCAAAAGATAAAAATTAGCAAATATGTGGAGATTTTCAAGCCAAAAAGTTGAAGCTCCTGAATAAATTAGCTCAAAATGCGGAAAATTTGTCGTTCAGCGTAGATCTGCAAGGATAATGATATTATCATTTGCTAGCCTCTTGGCGCGGTCTAAAAAGGTTATTCATAACCGTCAACTGTAATTGTCCTCGATTATAGTCTGAAAGCGTGAGAAGAGCTCAGTCCCAGCGAAGCAAAAGTCAGGTCTCGCCCGGAATCGAACCGGGGTTGGCGGAAGGTGAGTCAAGACATCAGAATCCGCAGTGATAACCGCTACACTACGAAACCAGCGCTGGTCGAATGGGGTTGCTTGACGTACTCGATTTTAAGCGGAGGGAAAGGTTGGGTGGCGAGGTGGTTTCTCTATTTTTTTTGGGCTGGACCCCTCCTTCGAGCCTGTGAACAGGACCTACTACACTATACACAGGAGTTTTGAAGAATGAAGACAATTGTCTTGCAAATGATGTATTTTTTTGTGGTTGATTTTGGCGAGTCTGAAAGCTAGACACTTTATTTGCAATGGTTCAAGGCTTACATCGCGCGGCTTCATCCTAAAACAAATAGACTCGCAAATATTACTCCCCAATGTGTATATGATTACCACTAGCTAAATACTTATGGAAGAAAGAAAGACTCGTCCTCAAAATCATTGTACAGATTGCTCATACTGGAAGTTCTTCCTCATGGCCCTCTTCTCCGTCAAAGGAAAGCTGCCGGTCCCCACTGACATTTTCCCGCGGGTCGGAGACACTGAGAGCGTGATAAGAAGCCCCCCGCAAGCTATCACCGATGTGGCGCGGCTCGAACGGGAGATGCGACTCATCTGCCGACAGTGGAGGAAAGTATTGTCTGTATGCAAAGTACGATATAACTAGACCAACCAGGGACCCAACAGTAACATCTTCCCAGTGGTGACGGTTGTCCATGGTCCTGCGTCAAGGTCAAGTTAGATTGGAAGGTTTTGTGAGAGAAGAGAAACCAACCGGCTAATGGCCACCAGCATGGCACCAAATGGGGGAGTTAGGGCCAGCCATGCTTTGAAAGCGTGCCCTCGTCGATCGAAAAGATGCAGCTTTCCAGCTAGATACAAGCTTAGAAATCCTAGACTAGCGAATGACACTAGATGGGCTGTCAGAATTTGCATTTGTGGAGTCGTCGCCACTTACAGCTCGCGTGGCCAGACCAGAAGCTTCGAAACCCATCTTTCAATATCGCCATGCTCCTCTGAGTACAAATTGAGGCGTCGACGAGACCAAACGGTGAGCCATTGACGGAGCCCTCCTTTGGCACACAACGATTGATTAGATCTAACGGAGTGTGGTTTTTATTTTTATTTTATTTAGCTGCAAAGCGGTAGAAGACGCTGATCGAAAATGGAGCTCACCAGGACGCGGTCGGCCGACTGTCAATTTCACTACTTGTGTCAAGACTCCGGTTAGGGAAAGGCTCAGGACCACTATCCAGCGAGAACCGGAAAGGGGAAAGAGATGGAGTCAGTGCGTCACATAAACAAAAGAAAATACCTACACCCTAGCCAAGAATGGTGCCAATCCCACCAGCTGCGAATAGTGATTACATTGATGAAGGGCATCAGAACCAGTGGCGCAAGACCAATGATGGCCAAAGCCCAGTTCTAGGTTCGCATGCGGATCAGTTAAACAGTACATCTTACGGAGTACGTAAACATACTGGGACCCTCTCATGCTCTGCAAATCTAGAGACTTTCAATCAGCGTCATGGGTTCCGCTTGAGCGAAAAGAAGACAAACGGGTATTGAATACTAAGAGTGATACGGTGGTGAACACGGATTCACGCGGCTAGGATATAATATGGGGTTTACCTAGTGTCAGTCAGTGAGAAGTGTCTCCAGTAGCCGTGTGTGGAGTTTAGCAGCCCGACGCAGTTCCTGTACAGCAGGTTTCAATATCATTCACGTCATGCGAGAGCTTGATATTCTACGCACAAAATCAGTATCGCAAGCGCCCTAGAGCCAGTGACGCCCAGGAAGGATCAGATTCTGCCGGCAACTGGAAGGTTGCAGGGGATATTGAAAATACGGACCAATCTTGTACGTAGGACCAATACACCTTTCGCCTATTTACGCCTGCATCTCTCCACGACGCTGGGTTAGCTCCATCTCCTAATAGAGAGTCGATGTTCAAGGCTCATGAGGTCATTGCCACGAGTCCAATGATGAGAAGAACCGCACCAATACGAGAGAGTCTGGAGCGGACGGGATTCGTTGCTGACTGCAAGGACATACAGAGTAGTGTGATCCAATACTTAAAGATGAAAATGCCACTTCGTTGGGTTCTGCTCAACCGAGGCGTCGATCCTGGCTCTTGGCGAGCACGATCACAACAAAGGTAAGCTATGGCACCTCTGCCACAGGAAACTGATTCCGATTCCGATTCCGATTCCGATTCCGATTCCAATTCTTTCGACTCCGATCCGATCCGGTCCAGAATCCGATCTCGATACCTATTTCGATTCTGATCTCGGCTCTAACTGAATTACATGACGTAGTGAGGGGCACGAGTTTTGCTTTTAGTATTCGGAGCTTGTGCCGATGTTTTTTTTTTTGTGGGGGGGGGGGAAGGGGGAAACTGCTCTCAGCTACGACAAGCCCTCTCCACCACTGGACTCAAAAAAGAATAATTCTCTCCTCCGGCACAACTTCGGAATCCTAGTCAAAGGCTGAGGCCAAACTCCTTCCTGAAGCGGCCAGGAAGCCTGCTGGCCCAAAACCTTTCTAGGGTGCGAACATGTACACGTTTGTCAAAATGCCTAGAGCTGAACATGCCATCAGAATCGGAATTGGAGACGGACCGAAATCAGAATCGTTTACCCGTGGTAGGGGGTTTTTGAGGCAAACACAGTTCATGCATTCTCCATGCCTGATTTGGTGAGTGTGAAAGCTAAGCACCTTGGTCACAATAACCAACGGGCTCACGAAGCATAGATTCATCAAAGAACGTATAGATACAAGAATATTATTCCCCATATATATTATTGTCGCCAACCGAACACCTTAAGAAAAGAAAACGCATCCTCAGGGTTATCGTGCAGATAGCTCATAGTTGATCTTCATCCGCTGGTCCCCCTTCAATGTCAAAGGAAAGCCGCTGCGTGGCGTTGACATTATCTCGTGAGTCTGAAACACCAAGAGCATGGTAGGAAGCACCCCGCAAGCTATCGCCAATGAAGCGCGGCTCAAACGGAAGATGTGACTCTTCTACTGACAATGGCGGATAATATTGTCGGTAGGCGAAGTACGATATAACCAGACCGACCAGGGAACCGACAGTAACATCGTGCCAGTGGTGGCGGTTGTCCATTGTTCTGTATTGAAGCAAAAGTGAGATTGAGAAGGGCTTGGGAGAGCGGGAAGAGAGAACGGACCGGCTGATAGCCACCATCATAGCACCGAACAAAGGAGTCAAGGCCAGCCATGCCTTGAAAGTATGCCCTCGTCGATCGAAAAGGTGCAGCTTTCCCGCAAGGTACCAACTTAGGAATCCCAGACCAGCAAATGACACTATGGTAATGTGTTAGCGCCTGCAACCTTATTAGCTCCTTGGCACTTACTGCTTGCATGCCCTGACCAGAAGCTCCGGAAGCCATCCCTTAACATGATCATGTTTGTCTGAGTACAGATTGAGGCGCCGACCAAACCAAACGGCGAGCCATTTACAGCGCCTTCCTTTGGCATACAGCGAGCAATGAGATCTAAATACCGTGCAAGCGGATTCTCTCATTCATAATGTGTAAGGGAGGATTGATACCAAATGGCTGCTCACCAGGACGCGGTCGACCAACGGTCACCTTCACAGCTTGGGTCAAAACTCCGGTTATCGCCAGGCTCAAAACCACTATCCCACAAATAATCAGAAAAAATTAATACATGAAGTCACCGCGCGCAACGAATGAAGAGGGACACGTACGGCCTAGCCACGAGTGATGCCAGTCCCACCAGCTCCGGATAGTGACCACATTGATGAGGGGCATCAGGACCAGTGGTGCAAGGCCAATGATAGCTAGACCCCAGTTCTATCGTTACACATGGCTATAAGTTCAGCGGTATCTGACACGGACAGCCGAGACATACCGGGATTCTCTCATGCTCTGTAAACCTGCAAGCACTTGATGAGCATCATGGGTTACCCTTGAACGAAAGAAGGACGAACGGGAATTGAATACTGAGATCATAAGGTAGTCAGTATGATTGAAACATAATTTCAGCTATAATTTGACGTTTACCTCTCATCAGTCAATGAGAACTGTCTCCAATAGCCATGTGTCCAACTCAGCAGTCGGAAGCAGACCCTATACACTGGCCCTCAGCGTGATAGCATTCCGACGAGAACATGAATTTCACGCACAGTATCAATATGGTAAGCACCCTAGAGCCAGGAATGACGGGAAAGGTTAGAATATCTACTAGAAGGCTGCACTGCATATTATGATGACATACCAGTCTTGTCCGTACGAGATATACGCCTTTCGCTTATTTGCGCCTATCTCTCTCCGCGAAGTTGGATTGGCCCCATTACGTCCAGTGTCACCTGACGGCGAGTTGATTTGGAGGGTCCGTTAGGACATTGTCACGGTCCAGCGAAGAGAAGAAGAACCGCACCAATACGCGAGAGTCCGGAGCGAAGGGTATTCGTCGCCGACTGCTGCCAAGACATATGGGTCGGTATAATCCAATGTCTAGAGTCAAGAACACCAGTCCTTAAAGCTCTGCCCCTCCCGAGGCGTCGATCCTGGCTTCTGAATGAGCACGGTCACAACAGTGGTAAACACAATTTCTCCAAGTCGTGACATCGCGCTTGCTTCTCAGGGTCACACGCCTACCCACATGGTCTCTGTCCGTCGGCGTCCTGGTCGTATCCTGGCAGCAGGGGCATTGGCCCTGCTGTTTAGAATCGGCCTCATCATTTATGGCTCCTACCAGGATGCCACCTCTTCGTTGAAGTACACTGACGTTGATTACCGCGTCTTTTCGGATGCCGCCTATTTCTTGCTCTACCCTAAGGATGGAGAGTATGCGCAAGGCTGGCTTCCAAAAATGCTAGGTTGGGAATTGGGCGAGTTGAGTAATTCATTATGAATTCACTCGAGTATGGCCTAACCGTATAAACATCAAATACAGTCCATATAGTCGAGCAACATATCGCTATACACCCTTGCTTGCCGTTGCTATGATTCCCAATGAGCTTGTACACCCAGCCTTCGGGAAACTTCTCTTCAGCCTCTGTGATGTCATGATTGGAATCTTCCTTCTT